GATTTATTTATTTATGCACAGAGAACTGGGGTATAGGTCAGAGATGCAAGAGCAGTGAGAAGAATCACCAGAGAGAGAATGGGGAGCAGAACAGGCCAGTTGACAAATTATACTGCTGAGGGGAGCAGTGGGTGGGTCAGAAGTCTGCCACTCTATGGTCACTTCTCTGTCCAGGAATCAAACTCTTGCTGAAGTGGCTTTAGTTTCATAGTGCTGTGCTTTAACCCACTGCACCACCAGGGAGGGCCTGACACTAGCTTTTTAATCATTCCATTGATTATGAACTCTCCATCCATTAGAAAAATAAATATGCATCAACCAATAAGGGATATCAGAATGAGAAAATCACTGAGTCCATCTAGGTTGCAGAAAACAAAAGAACATTTTATATACATGCAATTATAACTTCAGCAGTATAGAAAAACTGGGAGAATTATATCTCTTACCTGTACTTGCGTGTGTTTAAAGTAGGGCACCTGAGAGATACTGGGGAATCATTAAATTAATGTAAAGTAAGCTACCAGTCTAGCAAGTTCCTGCTTCAAGACCAAAGTGATTAGCCTCCTAGTAAGCTAGTCATGACCAAGTCATAACCTCCAAGTGTAGTGCTGGGTGATCCTTAGAGTTTAGACATTAGAAAGCTACTTAGCTCTCCAAGGAACGTACCTTTATTACTGCCTAACCTATCAATCACTTTAAAAAATGTTTCTGGATGTTTCTATTGGATCTCCTCTCTCCTCTTCTTAAACAGAGCATCACGACATTGTTCTCCACGTGTCTCCTTGAGAGTTGCCCCTGCTGTGTGTAAGGTAAAGCATAAAAGTCTCTTATAAATTCATATGCTAGAGTCAGAAGAGAAATACAAATTGAGTATCCAGTGCCTTAGGTACTCTGGCAAGATGACACTGGTCAGCGGGGCAGAGAGTGTGAAAGAAAGTGATGATATCCTGCTGTTCAGTATGTGCATAGCGCAGCGCCCACAGCGGGTGCCGCCACACTGTTACAAAACGCTCAACTAGTACACCAAGAGGTCAGGAATTACTTTAATATTGTTTTTTTTTTTAAAAAAAAAAAAGTTTAAATGGCAACACAACTGTAAAATTGGTACACCACAGAAACAAAGTTCTTTGCAGGCAACACTGACTGGGAAGAGCAAAACACTTGGTTGATGAAAAAATGAAAGTCTAAATTATATACAATCACAGCTAAGGGTGATATTGAAAAACAGTCTTATTTACTGTGACTCAAGATTTAACTTGCCATTGTCTATTGCTTATTTATTCAGGATTGTAAATAATACTTATATAGACATAGAGATGTGTAAAAATGAAACATTGTGAAAAAAATACAATTTTTCAATTTCATATGAAACTCAAAGTATAAGTTTTGTCCAATATGGAATGTACCTACATTTGTTTATATTCGGGCTCTAAAATCCATTTAAAAATTGTTTTTTGTTTTTTAAAAAAGAAACAGCTGACCCACCATGCAAGTTCACTGGGTATGTTGCTTGCTCAAAATGAGCATTTTCAGGTGAGGTCTGTGTTTTCTGCCCAAAGTCTACCATAATTCCTTAAAAGTTGTACTGGCCCGATTGTGGAAAGCTTTTCCATAAAGAGTTTGATGGTAGCGTCTGGACGAGGGACAGTCTGGGTAATGGAAGGGAGCAGAGGAGAGGGAGGTCAGAGCCTGAATCCTTATGAAGGATGACATTCAGTTGTTAAATTTTAAGGGGTATCCAATGGCTTTTTCCAGGCATTCAACTAAAGAGCCAGCGGAAAGAAAATCCCTCTCTACTTCTACAAATTTGATGTAGATGGATTTAGGGGAAACTCCGGGATCCACAATACAGTTCTGAGACAAAAATCCATTAATACCAACCCAGTCTTTGCTGAAGGTTTTGGTATTTGCTTGGAAATGTAGAAATAAACATTGCTGCAGAGTCCTGACCTCAGCAATCCCGAGGTAGCAATAGATAATTCGGGTGGGTTCTATTTCCACCTGTAATGAGGCTTGTGCTGAAAGGGTCTCCAAGTCAACCCGGCCCTCCTTTCCGGGGTCCAGGGAACGTCGCTCCATGTGGGGTGAGGGAGGCCTCTCAATACATTCTTCATAGCCAATGGCATAAAGGCCTGGGCTTTTGGGAATGCCTCCTGGCAATAAATACTGAACAACGTTCCCACCGGTTGGTTTGGAGTGGGCAATGGGTATCCAGTCAATTTCCATGTGCAGCTCCAGGCACCTAGCTTCGCTTATCGTGATCTCTAAAAATTTGTAGTAAACATTTTTCCAGTTCATTTTCTGTACTCGGGTCATAATGATCCGTCCCTCAGGCTTTTCAGAGTTGAAGTACTCGCGGAGTCGCTTGCCAAGAGGCACCTGGGAGCTGATCTCAGCATAATGGTAACGGATATCCTCTTTCCAACGGGTGTTATAACCAATTCCAAAAATGGCCAGTTTATTAGAGAGATGAAGCCTTGAAAAGTCTGTCCAGCTCTGAAACAGTTCCCATTTCAACTGTACTGATTCCAAAATCTGTACAATATTTTGCATGATGTCTCTCTTCCTAGAAAGACAAAGAAAAATCAAAATTTCCTTAGATGTTTAGATCACCACTGTTCAATAGAACCTTCTGTAATGCTGGAAATGCTCTATATATTTATTCTGCCCAATATGGTAGCCATTAGCTGTTAAAGATGTGGTTAGTAGAAGGTACTAAATTTTTAATTAGTACTATCCATGGTTGATAGTGTCAGTCTACGTAATAATAGTATTAAAATCTGTAAAACACTCAACCCTGGAAAGTGCTAGAAATTAGTAATTACTTTCTATTACTTTTGTAATTTTACTGCATAAAACTTAGTTACTATTGATAATGTAAGACCCTAGAGTTTCAGAATCCCTACCTAGGATTGTGAAATTTTTTTTTTTTTTT